ATGTCATCGTCACCCAAAGTCCGTACTTCACATTACGGTTCAGTTTTGGTGTTGGACATTCTATGGGTTTTGGCAAATGTGTTATGCTGTGTATCCGCCATTGCAGGATCATACGGGGTGGTTTCACTCCCTAAAAATCCTTTCCTGTATTCATCCCTCCCTCCCCTGGAACCCCTGGCAAGTACAGATCTTTTTAATGTCTCTATAATTTTGCCTCTTTCCAGAATGTCATACAGTGGAAACCATACCATATGTCGCCTTTTCCGATTGGCTCCCTTCACTTAGTGACATGAATTTAAGTTTCTCCATGTCTTTGCATGGCTTGATAGCTCATTTCATTTTAGCGTTTCAATAATATTCCATTGTCTGGATGTAGCCATTTTTACACATATGTAAGAAGCCAGAGTTTTCGATGGAATGATATAATTTATCAATAACTAGCATTATAATAAAATCTAGGATAAGACGGAAGCAATGCCTGGCGCAACTAAAACAACCTCTACATCAAACCTGTTAATATGAAGGTTCTGGTTACCCTTCCAGTTGTAAGAAGTAAACCGAGGGGCAGACAGAACCTGACGAAAAGTCAGTTGTGGGGAGATCCATGAAAAGAAGAGTCCAAAATCTCAGCCGTTGGCTCTAACGCGGATAAGAGCATAATGCACTGGCTATGTTCGTAATGTTTTAAGTTTATAAATGTGGGGAGGAGGCAAACACCAGCCCCTCAGGTTGCCATGCGAAGGGAATTCCTTAGGCCACCACTCCTTGCCCCTCCCCCTCCTCCTCCCCACTTCCTCCTTTCCCCCGAGGGAGGAGGAGCCACTTTCTGAATGGGGAGGAACTGGGCATGCTCAGAGTATCCCCCCTCCCTCTCCCCTCTGGAATGGCCTGGCTGCAGACGGCACGCTGGTCAGCTGGCCAGCTCTCAAGCAGAAGGGGTAAATCAGCACATCCGACTCGGGGGTGCGGCATTTGCCAGCCCACTTGCCCACAGACCTCGGCCATGTCCTACAAACGGCTGTGCAAAAATTATGACACTAGCATCTCAATCTCCACGTTCTCTGATTCCTGCATCTGCTTGGTGGTCCTCATGGAAGTGGGGAGGACATCCCTTCCCCAACCTAATACCGTCATCATCAATAGCTTTGTAAAGGCTCTCGTCACATCATCAGCCAGATTCTTCCTGGTGTCACCCAGTGTCACTGAAGTGTCACCCAGTCGGGGAACTTTGAAGGACAAGATTTAGTGAACTGAAGTAGTAACTTAACATTGAAAGCGCTGAACAAGCCTAAAAGCGTAGCCAGACTACTTTCAGGAAATCATTTGATCCCTTTGAGAAATCTAACCGAAAAACTAATTTTAGACCAGCAATTCAACTACTTACAGACTACACAGCAATTCTATCTAGAAGGGTCTACATAGAACCGATTACAAACTAAACTTCCCATGAAAGAAAAACCAATATTAAGGCTATTCCAGTGTTTTGTCAGGGGTTGCAAAGAATTTGCCTCTTCTGTCCTAATGGTTTGACACACACTTTTATGCCTTGACACCAGGCGTCTGTCCTGTCCCAGGACATCCAGGTCACTGTGTAACATCTGAATTTTCTTGAGCCAAGGTCGAAATGCCACCCTAACTTATAAACATCAACAGTGATGGTAAAAAAAAAAAAAAAAAAAGTATAATGTTTATGCATCTTGCTGCATGGGGACTACCTTAAAAAGCAGGATGAGCCCCTTGAGAACAGAACAGAACTTGCCTATGTGCCGTGTCTTACCTACACAGCATTATTCATGAGCGCCCATGAATAACTGATAATGTCAGGAAGGGTTTTTCTAAGCACGGTCACCATCTTGCTTGAGGTAGGCTGCTCAGTGAGACAGACGCTAACTGGTGTTGTTAGGGTACATTCCCTCCCCCCTTGCCCATCTCCATGCAGCCTGGCACGGCCAACTGAGTCTGGCCCGGTTCTGCCAAGGGACATGTGCATGGACCTGTCTGGAGATCCGTCTGGAAGAGGTTTTGCTCTTCTTCTATGAGGGACAGACGGGACTGGCGATGCCTCGCTCCCTTTTTCTTGCTTTGACGGTGGGCGTGATTCCTGGAGCTGTCACAGCCACTGATGACCATGAGGTGACCGACCAACCCTCTGCATCTGCTAGGAGCCAAGGGCACAAAGGCTACTCCAGCTGCCAACCTTCTCTCCCCTGGGCATAACTATGGCAACAGCAGGACACTGGAAATGCCTGGAGCATCACTAAACCGAAAAAGACCAGCCGTGCTGTTAAAACTAACCACTGGCCTACTCCCCTCAGCTAACAGAAATGGCGCAAGGTGTTAGCCACTGATTCTGTGTCAATTCTGGCGGAGGTCCTGAGGCAGAGAACAAACCAGTAGGCGCCAACTACTTCCATGTTCCAAAGTGAGGCACTAGACCAGCTCTCCAAAGAGCCATCTGAGAACCTGTGACCGTCCACAGGTTGGAGGGTAACGACACTGAGAAGATTGGATATCAGGTGAATCCTTTGCAGAGAGTTGTTGGATGCTGGGGGCACTTCCTTCTGCCCCCTACCAAGGATGAGAGGAGGAGGCCTAGTGACAAGGACTGCAGAAGGCCTTTCAGAGGCGACATACATACCTAGGAGCTTGGGGACAAGACGTGTGGTGTCTGTCACATGCCCGAGAAACCTTAACGGCAAGAAGCCGTAAAGTCAGGACAAGGAGAGGCGGCTACACAGTGGGGTACAGAGTTCCACCCACCTGGTGTGTGCTCGTGGACCAGATCTGGGCCATGAGAATGAGCTGGCCCCAGAGGGCTCCCGGGAGAGAGGGGCTGAACAAAGGTACCCACATGTCCTGGTTCCCTGAAGGGAACCACAGGTGAGAAGTCCCCCAGCTCATGGGGAGTCTCCAAGGAACCCCAAAGCCCCTCCCAGGAGAAAAAGTCAGTTCTAGATGTTTTCTGTGGCCGATTATATAGGTGCCCCTCCCAGCCCTTCACCCAGGAGAAAAAGTCAGTTCTAGATGTTTTCTGTGGCCAAAGGAAGCATTGGCCGATTATATAGGTGCCCCTCCCAGACCTTCACCTTCAAGGAGCTGAGGCAGCCCCATCAGAGGGAGGGAGAAGGGTAGACAGAAAATGTGGGGGAAACCTAGAGTGAGGGTTAGTTTTATTTGTCAGCTCGACTGGGCCACAGGATGCCTAGATATTGAGCCAGACATTATCCCGGGTGTGTCCAGGGGAGCGTTTCTGACCGAGATGAGCATTTGAGTCGTAGGCTCCCCAAGGGTGTGGACCTCCCCCCACTTCTAAAGGCCTGCATAGAACAGAAGGCTGAGTGAGGAGGAAGTCCCTCTCTGCCCTACTGCCCAAGCTGAGACATTGGTCTTCTCCTGCCCTTGGACTTGGACTCGGGCTGGAACTTACACCACCGGCTCTCCTGAGTCTCCTGCCTGCCGCCTGCAAATCTTGGACTTCCCGCTCTGCAATCCTCGGAGGCCAATCCTTTATCGTAAATATAGATATACTCCTATCAGTTCTGTTTCTCTGGAGAACCCAGACTTGCAGAGGATGCTTCGAGAAAGGCCCCTCCCCCATTTCCCACCACAGGCTTCTAGCTGGGAGCAGCCCAGCTGGGTAGGAAGAAGTTTAACTTCGATGAACCCTGTCACACAGGGAGGCCCCTGTAGACTCAAAGTGACCAGAGTACTTGGTATTTAACAGTACGGGCAGGTCCCATAGCTGTCAGAGATTTCACCAGGGGCGGGGGGGGCAGGGCCGAGAAGACACCAGGGAGTATTGAATGGGCTCTGGAGAGTAGAAAAGGTTTCACCCCAGCGCACCCGCAAACCCTATCTGCACCACACCCCGGTTTCGCCAACGTGGCGTGTGACGGTGCAGTTGGAGTTTTTAGATAGAGCCCGATATGTTTTTCCCAAGACCCTTCTCCCAAACACTGAGCTCCTTGTACAGCACAGTCCCACGTGGAAGAAATGCCTTCAGCTTTTCCAGCATCGAAGGGAGCTTCCAGGAGCAGAGAATGACATGATTCCTTTTTAAACGCGCTTGAAAAGCAACTCCTTTCGAGGCGATGTCATTTTCCACCCTGCGAGGATCCTGCTGGAACCGGCATGGCTGCATCGAACCGAGTTCCAAGTCGCGTCTCGGTCTCGGCGGGTGAGAGATGAGCTGGGTCTTTGCAGCAGACAGCGTGTTGAAAACCAGCAGACCAGGAGTAGCTGACTTTTATCTGTCTCCGCCGCGTTCCCAGGAATCCTGCGGGGGTTTCCGGCCGCGTGGGAAGCGTCGGCCTGCGCCCGGAGGTGCAGGAAGAGGGAGACTGGGCAACGTCTGCTTTGCTCCCACTGCCCTCATGTCGCTTGCTGTCCGGTCTGTCCAAGTTCTCCTGGCCCCCGTGCCCAGGCAGGCTAGACCCAGCCAGGATATTTATAGTGCTGGTACAGGACTGGGCAGCTAGTGGGAGCAGATGTTTTCTGATAGGGAGAAAGGAAGCTATTTATACTGGGAGTTGGATGAAAATTAGCCAGAGGGGAGGCTGCAGCCATAGTTGACATTCCTGTCCTCCCGACACTGGGGAAAATTCTCCAGGTGCGCAGGTGAAAATATTCTCACCCTCGCCGCCTAGACAGGTCAACCCAGCAGACGCTGACTGAGGGCCAGGTGCTGGGTGGGCACGGAGACGAATAAGACAAGGTCTCTCCCCCTCTTCGTTACAGCCCAGGAGACCTCATGAAAATGGAGACGATGACCCGGTCCACCCCTGCCAGCTGAGAGCACCATGGGAATGCCAACAGGGTGGAGATGATGGAGCTGCGGGGCCTAGGGCAGCAGCGTATGGGGTGGGGACGGTGAGGGGGCAGGGGTGCAGAGGTCACGGGTGCCCACAAGGCCAGTGGGCGCTAACCTGTCCTGGAAGGATGGCGGACCTCATGAAAATGGAGACGATGACCCGGTCCACCCCTGCCAGCTGAGAGCGCCATGGGAATGCCAACAGGGTGGAGATGATGGAGCTGCGGGGCCTAGGGCAGCAGCGTATGGGGTGGGGATGGTGAGGGGGCAGGGGTGCAGAGGTCACGGGTGCCCACAAGGCCAGTGGGCGCTAACCTGTCCTGGAAGGAGGATGGCAGGGAAGGTCCAGGTGAGACGCCATCAGGGCAGCGGCAATGGAACTCAGGGTGGGGAGGCGCCGCAGCCCGCCTGAGGCATTCTGGGAACATCCAGGAAGCAGACGTGGTCTGAGGCTAGGGGAGCTTCCCGAGGATTTCGGAGGAGGGGGCTGCCCAGGTGAGCTGGGGCCGGGCTGTGAAGGGCCATCATCCGTGATTGGGAATGTGCACTTATGCGGACTCGGCCTTCAGACAGAGGAGCAGACAGAGCTGTCTAGGAAGAGAAGCGATAGTTATCTCAGGGAGCGATGGGAACTGTGGCTCTGTAAGCGAGTTCCCCCAGAGGCTCTGGTGTCCTGCGGAACCGCAGCTGGCACCCGGTCGGTGCTTCGTACATGCGTGTGGAAAGAGCAGATTCGGAGCTGCATTCCTGGCTGCAGGTGGCAGGCGAACCATCCACGGGATGAGTCCAGGTGGACTAAGTGGGTGTCAGATGGCAGGCGGAGGCACCGTCTCCCTCCAGCATCCTTGGCGGGTCTCCATCCTCCCCGAGGTTTCATCGGATCAACCCGTCTCCTGGCCGCTGCTCACCCCGCAGTCCAGGTCCTGCCGTGTCCCCTGCTCCGGTTCTGCCTGTGGCTTTACCTCCACCTCAGCATCAACCCCAGTGTGGGTGCAGCCTCGGCCTCGCTCCTCTGATTTGAAAACCAAGTAATAATAATAATAATAATTAATAATAGTAATAATAATAATAAAAGTTGTTTCTGTGTATTCTCGCTGAGGGTTTGGGGAGATGGAGCAAGTTTACGAATGTAAACAACCTAAAACTAAATATGAGCCTTTTCGTTTTTCTTAAATATCCTTAAGCCATTTTTGCCAACTCGATTCCGGCCTTCGCCCTACTTCTTACCTCTTTCTCTGCTTCTAGGCTCTTCCCCCTTCTGTCTCGCCAAATGCCTATTCTGTAATGATACAGAACAGTTTGTCGTTTGGGGGCTTGGTTTGATTTTCTGGTCTCCTACCTCTGAGGACCTCACCTCTCGCCCCTTAGCCGAGTACTTTCCTAAACAAAGACCTTTTGTTCCCTAAGAAGAACGCTGGTTCCATACGGTAAGAAAATCACCGTTCCCCCACCACGGCGGTACGGAGCAGCCGTGCGATTGCGTTTAGACTTGGCACCGCAGGGGACGAGAAAAATAAGTATGATCTTTGGGACGAACACTGGAGAACAAACAGTCTTTGCTCCACCAAACTCTTTCGGGCTCCTGAACCTTCTCTTAGGTCCGTCTGTGCCCTTCTCTGGAAAAGCCAGATTTAGCGAGAACCAGCTTCAGCAAGAACTCCTCACCTCAAGCTCTGATCCAGTCCCTCGTCCACCGTCGCCCAGGGGACGGCTGACCACCCTGGCCTGCCTTCGGCAAGAATCCTGGTAGGTCAGTTTAGCCAGAACCCCCTAACCTCTGATGTTTCCTCTTAGAAATTTCCCACCATGGACCCCCACGCCCTGCACCTGCGCTATAAATTTCCACTCGCCAGAGCTGTATGGGGAGTCGAGTCCACTCTCTCTCCTTCACGGCAAGATCCCATTGCTGTGTCCCCACAGCTGTTGCCATGGCCCCCGGTGAGTACAGTCTGCCTTACCATCTTTGACAAGTGTCGCTGAATCGTTTTTTTCTTTCCCAGGAAAAAAGCCTTAACCCAGGGCACTGCGATTTGGTGTTTAACTTCTTGCTCGCCGGGCGGCTGCACTCTGTGTGGAAAGACAGAGATGAAACGTGTCTGTGTGGGCTGGGAGCAGACAGGACAGGAAGAAAGCTCTTCCAGATGACCTTATAAGGCGAGGAGTAACACTCCTGGGCAAGTAAGTGAGTTTCAGAGATGCGCCTGCTGGAGGTCAGAGCGGGAGGGATCATAGGGTGAGCGTCGGGGGCGAGGAGGTTAGGGGGACGGCGATGATAAAATGAGGGAGATAGGAAAGGAAGCCGTCGAGGGGAAGGATAAAATAAATACAAATGTTCAGGGGATGAGGAAGCGGACACCGAGAGGCACCCATCTGGGCTGAGCTTGTCTTATGAGCCGTGGACGAGAAGAGCCAGGCAGACCCATGGCCCAGGCGGCGGAGAGAGATCTGGACCAGCAGACATGGACTCCTCTCAGCAGAGAGCCTTTCCATGGACAGCCACCTCCCTCTTCAGTCCCAGGTGGGTGTCACGCGCACACTGGACCTTGTCCTCCTGCAAGGATTGGGAACTTGCTGAAAAGTTCCGGCGTGTTCCTGACCCTTACGTGTTCGATTCAAATTCTTGGTTGTTTCTTGGGATGCTTCAAAGGTTTGCAGCATCAATCTAGACCTTTCCCCGTCACGTGTCTGTTTCTGCCCCATGTCCATTTGGCTTGGTCAGGGGTTAGTGGAGGAAGCTGGGAAATGAGAGAGCTGGATGCTCCAAGGGCGACGAGGCGGTTTGGTTCAAGTGTCCTTGTGAAATGCAATGTCAAGTCCCACCAGAGGCCCGAGGTGGAGGAGGGAAGGTGGGTGAGAGGGAGGCCCCAGGTCTTCAGGGCTGCGACCTGAGGACATGGTCACAGACAAGCCGTGAAACAAGAAAACACAAGGACAAAGGCGGGGAGTTTTTACAAAGCTAAACCTCCTCCATTTAAAGGCCATTTGCCGGTCATTTATTGTGAGATTAAGTAATTCCATGGGAAGAGCCTTCTTTTTAAAAAATGATTAGAATAGTACGTGGCCGTTGTCCTTAAAGTTTTTACTTGGCAAAATGAGAAGCTGGAAACACTAAGTCCTTCCAATTAAAAAGGAGAAAAAACGGCTGGCCCCAGAAAGCCATGAACCTGAGGGTCACCCAGGGCCAAGTGTGCACCGCTCCGGCGCCTGTTTGCCCACGACGCCCACTGAGTGAGGCTCCCATACGGGCCGGGAGGCCAAGGTGGGGAACAAGGAGTTTTTCTGACCTTTCTAGCACTGAGAACGAGCCAAGCATCACGCTCTCTGTCACCTCCCCACCCCCACCATAACGCATGAAACCTCCGTGGCGAAAATGTCCAAGGGCAAAAACTTGCCCAGACCAGGCTGAAGGACCCCGCGGGCACAGAGGGCTGCCCCATCGTGGTGGCCGGAACACAGGTCCCCAGGGGTCAAAAGGCCAAGCTGACCCTTAGAGGCCCCCAAAGAAACCAGAGATGCTTCTGAGATCCAGGCCTCCCCCTGCCCCTTCCCGGCTTCCAGCAGTGGCCTGGGGGCTGGGCAATTAACGTATGGAGATTGTGAGACCTTCCGCCCTCCTCTGCCACGCCCCCCACCCCGCCCCGTGTCCCAGGCTCCCTGGAGCATGAGGGTGGGGGCCTGGGTGGGGAAGCTGCCGGCACCATGGGCGATGTGGAGCCCGGTGTGGCCGGGAGCCTGTCGCTGGTGGGACCAGCCACGGGTAGGGAGGCACGGCGAGACTGGCCACCGCGGAACTTGGCGGCAACACAGACCCACGCGCCAAGGCGGTGGGCGGCTCTAGGATGTGGCTTCTGCAGCGCGAGGGTGAACCCTGCACCTGCCCGCGGAACTGGCCGGACGGGACCACACCCATCTGCATCCTTGTGACCTTCGCACACGCGTGCGCTCACACAGGTGCACACGCACACCACTGTGTGGCATGACCCCCTCCGCCCTTGCTCACCTGGCAGGAGAGCTGGAATCCCTGTCTGATGGAGTGGAGGGGGAGAGGGGCTTCACCTCTCACCCCCTCAGGACTCCCGGGGTGGCTCCCCCAAATATCTGAGCAGCTTTCCCTCATGGAGCCCCGTGGACAGGGAGAGCTGTGACGATGGAAGGGCTGTCCCTGGACAACCCTCCCTAGTACGCGTGGCACATGGCCCAACCTCCGCGTGGCCGAGGGCGTCCGTCGTGGTCTCCTTACGATGACCAACAGTCACCAAGAAGGAAAAATGTCTTGGGGCAGCTCCGCGGCATGGCAGCTGCACCCTGGATTAACAGGGTCTGTTTAGACAGACCCTTTTTAGAGAAAGGCTTCATTTTGTCAGACCTACTTTCTCAGAATCTCTTCGCCACTCAAGGCCCCCAGTGGGACTGATGCTCTCGTTGGAAAAGGAGGAAATCATTTGTGAGTCATAAAATGGAATGGAAACCAAAATGGAAACCAAGAAGGAAACTCAGTTTGCCGTCTCCCGTTGTCGTGCAGTACAAAAGTTAGTTATTTGATCAAAGAGCCCTTGTCAGGCCAGCTGTGTTTTTCTCATAAAATCGTCAGGCCACCAACGGGAAACCGCGATGCCTACAGGTCGTCGGCCGCCCGGCGGGACTGCGAGCATCTGGAAGGCTCACCCATCCGCTCGCTCGCCGGAGGTTTGAACTTTGGAAGCGAGCCCCGGAGAGCGGTAGAGGAGGAGTGTGGCGCCCTCTGGCGGGAGCGGGTCAGCGCGCCCGCGTCGGCTTCCACCTGCCGTGCACCGGGGCCTCCTTCTCCAGCGGCCGACCCGCTTCCCATCTTCGTGCAAAAGTCGAGATTCAGAGCTTTGCGCGAGGACTTCGGCGTCCGCGCCTTTGCGCAACACGGAGCTGATGTGGTTCGATCTTGGAAGAGCTCGTTTAGATTTTGGTCGGGTGGGGAAGGAGGTATTTAGCCCAGTGAGAGACGCATAGACCGGTGAGGGGCTAAGATCACAGGAAGCCAGACGGCCTAAGGGGCTCAGGTCTCGTGGGCCCAAGACGCTGCCCACAGGACCCAGTGAAGGAAGCCATAGCACATCCTGGCCGGCCATCGTGGCCTGGGGTTTTCCTCCCGGGTAAAGACTGGGCAGATATCAGGAAACCTCCAAGAACCAAGCATCTCTGTCCATCTGGGATAAAAGTATTTGTCCGATACGATTATAAAAAGTCCCAGGGAAGATTAGAAACAGATGCCACACATTTGTAAAAGGGCCTGGTCTTGGAACGACCCAACACCAGAACTTGTCTTCTGGGTCAAGTGGAAGTTTGTGAAAGGCGAAAGAAGGTGGGTCTGTTCTTTCCAGGCCCGACCTGAATGAAGCCTAGAGGAAGCGAGTTCTGGACGCAGCCCGGATGCTGCAGGAGCCTCTCCAGGCTCAGAGCTACACGCCTGGTGTTTCCAGGCCCCAGACTGAGATTCTACGCAGGGCAAAGGACTCGATTCCCACGAATAACATCTGTCTCTGTGTCGCGCTCATAAGGGGCACTCTGGGCGTGAGCCCAGAGTCACCAGGGATCCAAAAGGAATTTCTCTCTCCGCCATATGCGTTATTCAGGTGGTGGGAGCCTCCTAGCATTCTGAAATTCCTCGGAGGGATCGGCTACAGACTCCTGGAATTAGGCAAGTGAGCTTGGACACACCCTGACACCTGGGGGCGGCCGTGCTCCCATCACCTGCAGAGCGTCCTCGAGGCTGGGCACTCCCAAAGGCCCAGCAGGGACCCCGAGAAAGAGTTCTGTCTTTTGCGTCTGCCTCTTTCACTTACCGTAAGAGTATCGAGGTTCATCAGCACTTCATTTTTTTTTTTATATATCTGAATAATTTTTCATTCTGTGGCTACATCACATCTTATTTATCTATTCACCAATTTCTGGCCATTTGGGTTGTTTCCACTTTTTGGCTGTTACGAAAAATGCTGCTGTGAACATTCGTGAATGTGATTTGTTTACACATGTGTTTTCATTTCTCATGGGCGGATTTCAGGGAGTGGAATTGCTGGATCATATGGAACTCCAGGTTTAACCTTCCCAGGAACTGCAGACAACGCTCCACCCCTATTCACTTCTCAGGGGTCCTAAGAATCGGTCAGTCGAATTTGACAAAACAATAGCAGAATCACCGATCTTTGCAAAGAGATTCTAAACAAGTAGTAGGGTTAAATCTCAATTTTAGCTAACCAGCTACTTTAGTTAGATGCAATTAATGATAATAATTTTTAAAATCCCATTTGTTTTAACTTTTGTTGGGAAGTCTTCTAACTCAAGTTAACACATTACGGTTGCATCCCTCAGGAGGAAGGGAATAGGGAGGAGCATTTGCCTTTCCTTGGCCGTCAGCACGCATGGTCTTCAGTGGTCATCCACCCATTCACGAACACTCATCAAAGGACAGGTGCACGTCAGCCCTCGGCCTAGGTACTCCAGATCCACAGGGGCCCAAGAGAGACACTGCGTTTGTCATGCACCAAGTGCTAGCGTAGGAGAGAGTCAGACGAAACTGCCAAAACGGTTGCTTTGTAGATAACAGAGAGACTGAGAGAATATAATGAAGGTGTTGGGGCCGCTTTGGACTGGGTGATCGGGGAACCCCTCTACGAGAAGGTGCACTAACTCGGCAGTTTAAAACAACACTCATTTATTCGCTCATGATTCTGTAGGTCTGAAGTCTGGGTGGGCCCATGCTCAGGGTCTCATATGGCCAACATCAAGGCGTTGGCCAGGCTAGGGTCTTACCTGGAAGCTCTCAGAAAGAATTCGTTTCCAAGGTCTTTCAAGCTGCTCACAGAATCCAGTTTCTTGCAGCTGGAAGACTGTCAGTCTGTGTGGGCTGCTGCGACAGAATATTGTAGACTGGGTAGTTTAAACGACAAATACTTATTTCCCACAGTTTTGGAGTATGAGAAGTCCAAAAATCAGGGCGCCGGCAGGTTTGATGTCTGGTGAGAACCCGCTTCCAGGTTCGTAGACGCCATCTCCCCTGTGTCTTCACACGAGAGAAGGGGGACAGGGCTCTCCAGGATCTCTTTTATAAGGGCACTCATCCCTTCATGGGGCCTCCATCTCATCACCTCCCCAAGACCCCACCACCCCAAACACCATCACGCTCAGGGTTAGTTTTCGACATATGAGTTTGGGGGACACAAACGTTCAGTCTACAGCAAGGACCGAGGTCCCATCCTCTTGCTGGCAGTCAGCAGGGCGTTGCCCTCAGCCACTCGGGGCACCCGCATTCCTTCTCGCCTGGTCCTGCCACCTCCAAAGCAACAATTCGGTCCTTCTCACACACTGCACCCCTTGACTTCTTCCGCCACCAGCCAGACAAAGCTCTGGCCACGCGAGACCCTGAGGGCTTGTGTCTTCCTATCATAAGGTCAACAGCTCTCGTACGACATGACACAACCACAGGAGCGATGCCTCACCATCGTCCCAGGTTCATGGGGCTGTCGGAAAGCAGGTGACGTGGGAGATGGGCCTGAGAGGCGGTGGGCAAGCATGGAAGAACCTCTCGACCCCGCGGGTCCTGGTAGACATCTGTGAACAGGATGGAGCTGGAAGGGTACCAGGCCCAGGACACTCGGAGGAGACTGTTTTCTTGAATTAAATCCCTGAAATTGCTTTTCAAAAATAGTTTGATTAAGATATAATGTATAACTGACATGTGATAAAAAGCACATACAATTTGATCATTTTTGATATACGTGTACATCCATAAAAACATCTCCACCATCCAGATAACGAACATATCCATCACTCCCCAAAATTTCCCAGCCCCTTTGTCATCTCATTGTCCCATCCCTTCCACTCCCTCATCCCCAGGCAACCACTGATCTACTTTCTGTCACCGCAGATTAGCTTGCATTTTTCTGGTTTTACGTGAATGCAATCATACGGTATCGTTACGGGATGAATTGTGTCCCTCCCAAAAATTCATATTTTGAAGTCCTGACCCCCAGGACCTCAGAATGTGACTGTATTTGGACATAGGGGCCTTTCAAGAGGTGATTAAGTTAAAATGAGATCACTAGGGTGAGTCCTAATCCAATCTGACTGGTGTCCTTATGAGAAGAGGAGACAGGACACAGACACACAGGGAGGCTTGACCGTGCGAAGCCGCCCGTGAAGATCCATCTACAAGCTGAAGAGAGAGCCCGCAAGAGAAAGCAGACCAGCTGACCCCTCGATCCCCGACTCCCAGACTCCAGAGCTGTGAAAAAACAAATTTCTGTTGTTTAAGCCAGCCAGTCTGTGGCACTTTATTATGGCAGCCCCAGAAAACTAATACAATGATGTCCTTTTTTTTTTTTTTTTGACTTCTTTCATTAAAAAAAAAACATTCAAATATAAGTCTTTGTAAGAATGTATATATTTCCTTTTCTTCTGGGTAAACATTTAAGAGTAGCATGGCTCGGTCATACGGCAGTTGAATATTTAACTTTCCTAAAAGCCGCCCTACTGTTTTCCAGAATGGTTGGACCGGCTCCCATTTCCACCAGCGAGGCGTGGGGCTTCCGGTTGCTTCACGTCTTTGCCAACACTTAGCACGGTCCCTCGTTCTCATTCTAATAGGGACGTAGCAATATCTCACTGTGGTTTCAACGTGCCTTTCCTTAATGACCAATGATGTTAGCATTTTCTTAGATGCTTATTGGCCCTCCAAAAAGAAATATATGAGCTTATCAAATAAAATAAGCATCTGTCTGTTTGTTCAAATATGTGGCCCATTTTTAAGTGGGTTATGTTTTCTTTTTATGAACATTTTAGCGTTCTTTATTTTTTAAATACAACTCCTTTATCAGACACATGGTTTGTAACTATATTATGGCAGTCTGTGGTTTGTCTTCAGTCTCTTAACAATGTGTTTAAAAAAAAAAATAGAAGTTTCTCATTTGAATTAAGTCCAATGCTTTGGGTGCCATATTGAAGAAATCTTTACCTGACCCAAGGTTACAAGGCTTTCTCCTATGTTTTCTTCTAAAAGCTTTATTTTTTTTAAGTTTTACATTTAAGTCTGTTTGGGGTTAATATTTTTACATGATGCAAGGTATGGATCAAGGATCTTTTCTGTTTTCTTTTTTTTCTTCTTTTGCATATGAATATTCGGTTGTTCCAGAACATTTGTTGAAATGACTACCCTGTCTTCACTGACTTGCCTTTGAACCTTTGTCGAAAATCTGTTGTCCATATTTATGTCGGTCTATTTCTGGGCTCTCGATTCTGTTCCATTGATCTCTTTGTCTGCCTTTATGCCAACACCACACTGTCTGATTACTGTAGCTTTATAAGTCTTGAAATCAAGGAGTGGGAGACCTTCTCCTTCGCTCCTCATTTTCGAGGTTGTTTTGGCTGTCCTAGGTCCTGTGCGTTTCCATTTTATTTCAGAATCAGTTTGTCAATTTCTATCCTCCCCCCAAAAAAAGCCTGCTGAAAATTTGACTGGGATCGTATTAAAACTATAGATCAACTTGGGGAAAATTGATACCTTCAAGGTATCTTTTTAAATCGAGATATAATTCATATACCATAAAATTTATCCGTTCGAAATGCGCTATTCAGTGGTTTCTGGAATATTCACAAGGTTGTATGGCCATCACCACCAGCAAATTCCAGAACATTTTCATCACCCCAAAAAGAAACCCGGCACCCATTAGCATTACTCCCCAGCCCTTCTTCCCCCGGCCTCTGGCGACCGCTCGTCTACTTTCTGTCTCTATGAATTTGCCTCTTCTGGACATTTCATGTCAGTGGAATCATGCGACATGAGACCTTTTGTGTCTGGCTCCTTTCGCACAACATATTTTCAAGGTTCACCCCGGTCGTGGCAGACATTTTAAAAGTATTGAGTCTACAGCACCCAAATGAATGGATCAACATACAGGACACACTGCAGAAATCACGTTTTAGAATTAAGCCCCCAAAATCAGCTTTTGAAACATACACACACACACACACACACACG